GATGCTAAGAACGTGTTTAAACATCCATAGACAAAAATTGTCACATTGACAACTAGAAAAATTAATGACCCAATGTCACCAACTTGAACTGGTTCCATAAAATGTTACTAAAATCTCATTACAGCATCGGATGCTGTAAGGAGTCTCATTACAGCACCCGTTTGAGTACTGTTATAGCTTCCATTACCGTAGCGAATTACAAAAAAATATATTAACATTAACGTATTATAGAGGCATTATTCGTTCTTCTATAAGTTTATTTGACAAGACGTCCAAATTACTAGTTTAATAAATAAATTAAATAATCTAATAATTGAATATTTTTTAGGTGATTGTATTAAGAGAAGAGGAAAGTGCATTAAGACAAGAAAACCTACGGCTAAAAGAGGATATGTTGCGACTGAAACAAATGGCAGGAGTTGGAACGATGAAGGAGCCAATAACGAGCAAGTATTTCCCACCGCAAAGCCAAAATCAGGGTTCTACAGCTTATTATATGGCGATAGGTCTTTTCATAGCCATATTTGGAATTATAGTGGGCAAGTTTGTACTCTGAGCCTGATAACCTATATATATTATAGATTACGGAGTGGCTAACGCTCTCTTAAAACTCTTGTGTATTTATTATTATTTCAGTTTAAACTGATGCAAAAAAAAAGAAAATGATTTATTAACAAGTGTAAAATAAAGATTATCGATCATACAGAAAAAGAAAAGAAAAATATGTACCCACCCCCCTTTAGAGTATCTAAGTCAGTATGTTATATTATTCTTATTATTATAAGCTGATGCATTAAAAAAAAACTAAAAATATAGTGAAAACAGCGTCGAGTGCTACCTTTTTTTAATGGTTGTTTTCCGCTACTTTATTGTTTCGTTAATTTTTCTTATCAATTATAAAAATTTTATAGAGGAACTTGATATGTTCTTGAAATCATCTATATCTTATTCTTAAATACAGCTTTATTCAATGAAATAATTCGAGGACAATACAAGTTTTTCTTAATTTAAATAAATAACCTCCAAGGTAAAACATGGAAGAAAATTACTTAATTTATAAAATCATTCAATCAATCTCCAAATTTATATATTGTCTAATAGGAGACCTGAATATAGTGAATATAAAACGAGAAGATAGCTTCAAAATTAGTATATCCAATTACAAAAAAAACTTATTTTTTGCAGCTTATTAATAAAAGACAACATCTAATCTTTATATAATCTAAATTCAAAACTCCAAATTATTCCAATGACAATGTAAAAATTTGGAAAAGCTTTAAATCATTGTATGAAATATATTTTAATATACCAGGTTTCTATTTAAAGAAAAGTACGTGTATCATAAGGTTTGTTTTATCAACAAATGAGAATTCTTCGCTTGCGCTTCATTTTTTTCTGAAAATATTGCAGCGCAAACGTAGAAGAATCACCATTAATTGATTCCAACCGTTTTTTACCATTACTTGAACAAACCTGTAAAAACATTTGATTCTACCCCTAATATGTTGATGACTTTTTAATCTCTTCTTCATCTATTTTTTTCTTCTCATAACGAATTAATGAAAAAAAAACACGTAGTTGAGCTGTTATTAACATATTAAGGACTGAAAACATGTAAATTCCTCGAAGGGAAAAAAACGAGTTCAAAAAAACGTTTTCCCTTCGATCACTATTGCTGTTACAAACAATGAATAGAATTTAAAGAAAAAAAAATAATATGTATATGGCGATTTTACTTATTAGTTCTCGAGTTCTAAACTAATCACTAATAAGAGAACACACACAATCGAACTTTGTACCGTACTGTGCGCTTTATGTTTTAAATTGTTTTCTTTTTTTAACGAAATAGATTTATTACTTTTTTGAATGTAAATGTGGTTTGCGAAAGTACGTGTCAGGAATTTATCGAACTAATAATAGTGCACCAGCTAGATGATTAAAATAAAGAGAGAAAAGAGTCGCGCATTCTTAAGTCGATACGTTTATAAGTCGGTATGTTTTGTCCTTGTTTAGGTGTAGGTTGTAGCTTGTATTTTTAAGAGACATAAGGTAAAAATAACGTTGTAAAGGAGAAATAAAGGGAAACGATGCAACACGTTTTCTTTACGGTTTTGTTTTCTGTCTTTGTCATTTTTTTCTTTCATTTTTTTTATTTTTCACACTCATTGATTAAAGAAATTCATCTCAGCATCTCTCTTTCTCGTTTCTAATAAAGTGATGGACTTTAACGAGGAATATTAGATGCCACTGTATGTATTGTTCGTTACAAAGATATAATAGAAAACCTTGAAGAATAAATTTATTGTGCATAAACTATTTTGTTTTATTTAAAATACATATACAAGACTATTATTGTAGTAAATCCTCGATATAACGGATAAAATATGTTTAAGTCATGCTATTAATATTATCTATTTAGAACATAAATGTTAGCGCTCACAGATAGAGTCCAAATCGGGTTATTCCTCAAGATAGAGCCATGCGTCTGAAGACGTACAGCCAAACCCGAAACTTTGTAGTTTTAATTGTTATTTACCGTTAGATTGTTGTAAACTACTGTAGTAAATTTTAGTGTAAAGTATAGCAGATACTTCCTCCCCTGTATTATTAGTACGTTATTTATATCGAAATTTCACTGTATTTAAAAAAAAATTCCATTTGGACGAAGAATATGATGACGTTTTAAGTAGTGTACTCAATGAAAAACAAATTAAAGAAGACAACTTTATTAGTATAGGATTATATTACATTGATATTTAAAAAATATGATTCTGATATTAATTACTCACTTAAATTGAATATTTTTATTTTAAATTAAAGTTTATTAGGTTGCTGTTGCTGATCTTCACCTTGCTTTGGCTGCAAAATAGGTTCATCATGTTTTTTATTCTTTTCTGGGTTAATTCCTTGCTGTTGTGAATTAGTATCCTGATGTGGAACATTATCATTCTGAACATTTACCTGTGGAACATTATTTTGTTGTTGCACTCCTTCTCTATTCGGATTAGGAATATCTGGCGGAGTATCCTAGAAAATTTTAAAACCATCGAAATGTATTAAAAGAAACTAATAGTAAGTCTTGTTAATACTTTTTATTTCGCTTTCTTAGTTAGTCTTAAAATTAACCCATTATTTACTTAAATCTAACCTTTTGTGCATTATATTGTTGATTTACAGCCTGTTGAGGCGCATTACCAACTGGCACCTGATAACCACCAGGTGGTACTTGATAACCACCTTGTGGTGGTTGTCCACCATGTGGTGCTTGATAACCACCTTGTGGTGGTTGCCCACCAGGTGGCACTTGGTAACCCCCTTGTGATGCTTGCCCTCCAGGTGGTGGTTGTTGACCACCTTGGGGAACTTGATAAGCACCATGAGGTGCTTGTCCACCTTGTGGCATTTGATAACTACCAGGTGGTACTTGATAACCACCTGGTGGTGGTTGTTGTTGGTAACCACCTGGTGGCGGTTGTTGTTGGTATCCACCAGGTGGTCCTTGATAGGCACCTGGTGGAACCTGTTGGGCGGGATGAGGTACTTGATAAGCGCCCGGTGGAACCTGCTGAGCAGGGTGCGGGGCTTGATAAGCGTTTTGTTGTTGGTATCCACCCTGCGGATAACCTTGAACCTGAGGTGGATGATAACCGGGAGGTACTTGTTGAGAAGCTGCCTAAAGAGAGCAACAACAAAAAAAAAGAATGACTTCACTACACAAAGCATTTATAACAAAAACATAAGTAAAATGAAACATTAAAACAATATGAAATTAAAAAATGTAAATGTATATACGTGTGTAATATAACAGATTATACATAAACAATACTTAATGCAAATAATATTAACACATTTTTTTCTTTTCATCAAGTCTTCATAAAATTTCATCATCATAAGACATACTTTTGTTTTATTTTTGCGAGATAACATATATAAATATTATGTACCTAATTTAAAAATAGCAATGAGATTTCGTTGAATGAAATAATCTGAATGGTCCAAAGCAAAGGCCTAAGACTATTAATTTATATCAAAGCAGTCTATCTTATTGTTAGACCAGCGATTCTCAACCTGTGGTACTTGGCTGCCGTCGTGGTGGTACGCGAGGTAAGTGGTTAGCAGCAAAAACCAAAAGTATGTTTTTTATTTAGAATTCACCTCACAGACCCAGTCTATTATTTACTAAATCAATGTATGAAACCTTCTTTACTTAAAAGACAATTCGAATCACAAACAAATCTATTGATTATTTTAAAGCAGCAAGTGGTCTAAATGAAAGAAGCCAGTTCCAACAAGTTAGTTTAAGAATCGCCAAAACTTTAAATTCCTCCATTATCGTAGACTGGAGTTCTGCATGATGTATATAAGAGATAATTATTATCATCAAAAGCCGCTACAAAAGTGATCAATGACCTAACCAGTTATTATAGCTTAGCAATCCGAAGAAACACAGCATCTGTGCTAGAAATGAAAACCGAAATATGGGCTGTATTTTACTATAATAGTTCATCAGAGAGAAATTGTCAATACCATTCTTGACCTCCTAGTAAAGATAGCTGGTGTAAATGGCGTCAAATAGAAGCGAATAATAATTTAGACAGTTTTAAGCACAAGAGACTACCACTATCTACAGAAGTTCAAAAAGTTATTAAAAAGATTTACCAAGATTCAACATATTAGAACGCTGTTAGGAGGAAACACCCAGAATAGTAATGAAAGTCTCAATTTGCTCATTTGGACGGTTTCTAAAAAACATCTGCATTCTGGCCAATAGTTCAGTTTGCGACGCATCTAGCAGTGAACATTTTTAATGAAGGTTACACACCGTTATTAACAAAGTATGGGTATTACTTATCTTTTTGCATATGGAAGCCAGACATGCCAAAAGGCTACAATGTCTCGAACGGAAACATATCACACACCACTAAACAGGTGAGAACAGAAAAAAAAATTTTGATGCACAAAACCAGGCCTTCTGTGAAGAAGGTACCTTAATAACAGTACATAGTTCAATTTCAACTTACTACTGAAAAGTTGTATTTTTTTAAATGGTTCACATGATTACACTAAAACTAACGGACCGATTTTTTTTGGTCCGGGTCAATTTTTTTATACCATAAAAGTAAACAAAAAAACCTATTCAAATTAGGCGTAGTCAAACCGCACTATTTAAAACTATTAAAAAAACATTACAAACCATAAACTTAATTTTTGTTTGTAACAAATGTTAAGAGAAAAGATACGTCGTAGTATTGTTGGCGTTATTGCACAAATTCATCGTCAATCCCCACTTTTAAGTCTTGTATTATTGCCGGGCGTACCTCATACAGCTTATACTTGAGATATCCCCACAAAAAAACAGTCACACGAACTCAGGTATGGCGATCGTGGAGATCATTTTTACTGATGAGGCGATTTGAAAAAAATTCTCTAAGAAAGTTCAATGTAATCCTAGCTGTGTGACAAGTTGCTGAGTGTCTATCTTGTTGTAAATGCGTATTCGTATTCATAGATACTTGTGGGATGAGAAAGGTTTCTAGCATTCGAACAGATCGAGCTGATGTTACGGTAACTACATGGCCACCATCATTCTCAAAGAAGTATGGGCCAATTATGCTATTCGAAAAGATCGTACACCAAACTGTAACTTTGGCCGAATGGAGAGGTTCATGAAGTTGATGAGGGTTCTCAGCGGCCCAATAGCGAAAGTTGTATTATTAACATATCCGCTGAGGTGGAAATGAGCATGCGTTCACAAAAAAAAGGCGAACAAGATAATTTCGGGGAGTCAAAGCATGGACTATTTGAATCTTATACAATCTTGTCATTACGTAAAATTCCTCTTCCTGTTCTAGTCGAACTAGTTGTTCTAGTCCACTCTTTTTAAGTTAAGGGTCCAAACAGAAATGGCTTTCCTACTCGGAACAGGAGCAATGTTGGAAATAGAAAAGTGCTTTATAGAAGATCACCAAGAACTTGTTTAAGTTATTAATACTAATGAAAGTATGAAGAGTTATGAAATAACAGAGGACAATAGCATTTTGAATGAAAGTGAAGATGATGACTTAACCTTCAGCATATTACAGACAAAATTAATTTCTACTAACAACAACCAAAACAGTACAATTTGAGATTGTTATAAGGAAATTGCACAAACTACAATAAATTCACTAGTCTGGAGTGAGATATAGAAAATTATTTAAATCAGGAACTCATTCAAATAAACGAGCTTCCAATAAAATGGTGAAAACATAACCGTTAGATGTTTCTGTTTTTGGAGACAGGAAACATATTTGAAAGCAAAAGGAATAGACTACTATCCTTAAATGGTGCCAACCCAATATTCTTGCACCACAATGTTCCCTTACTCTACTTCGACTATTAAAACTTAAAGTTTTTTATATAAAATGTTTATTTTTTTAAGAGTTGCTTTGATAGATATGAATATATTTTCCTTTTTAAATAAAATATTCAGTTCTGCTACTTATTGTTGCTCTTGTTTATCTGTACAGGGTCTGTCACGACGAGCTGAGTCTATATGTATATGACCAACTAATCACACTATTTTTGTGAAAATTTGCATACAGGGTTTATCCGATGTGGTCGTTTCAGCTAAAATATTTTCAGTTTTCACCAACTTTCGGTTATACCCGAAATGGACCCCTACTTCGTTATTTTAAATGGAATGTACCAATTTTTATTGAATTTCCCCGCTAAATTTTAATATAATTTGATATAAGTCATCATATGTCCACCATTTTTTTTTCACAATAAAAATAATTTTTCGAAATTACACTCGAGTCCGGCCAAATATGCTCAGGGTTTGCATAGACAGGACTCATAGCTTACATAACCATTGAAAAGTTTTTTAAAAAGTTATACAGGCTGGTCAGAAATTTGCGCCGATTTTCCCTATCTCGAAAAGTCGAAAACTTAATTTTTTTAAATGGAATTTTTTCCTTCACCAGCGTATTGTACGATGGAAAATATCATTATTTCGGGCAAAACATATCTGCAAATTTTACAAAATCATCTACAACCGCTAAATCTAAACTGGAATCAGCTGTGGTACCAACACGACGGAGCTCCAACTCATAGTAGTGCGCAATATTGCGCTTTTTGCAAAATTGTTTTGAGGATCGTTGGATAACTAACAACGGACCCCAGAAATGACCTCTCCGTTCGCCCGATATCACCATTAGATTTTTTGTTTGGAGTCGTATAAAAGATATCTTGTATGCTATACTGATTACAACAAAGGAAGAATGCCAAGAAAGGGTTCGTGATGCATTTCAAACTCTTTCTTCGGAAGAAATTCGGAGTGCCACTTATGCCGGGTTTTTAAAAAGAATTCATAAATGTCTGGAAGTTGAGGGCAACCAGTTACTATAGTTATATCAATTTTACATTCTTTTTTTTTATTTTTCATTTATATTGTTAAATATAGTACCTTCATTTCTCTTCTGCTGTTATAAGTTTTATTCTATTATGAAAGATACAAAATGTGTGGAGATCGGGCTTTGAGGAGAATTTTTGAATGCAGGCCTCACCCATGGGTTGTATTTCCGAAAGTACCAAATTGTTTCGTTTTGATGTTAATCGCAAAGTCTCCTTATATCTCAGCACACAATAGTTTTTGTTTCATATCACTTTCCTCAAACCAAAACCAAGTAATAACTTTAAATTTATTAATAATCAAGAAAATCTCATTTTTTTCAAGGTTCTACGAAAACCGTACATTTTAGATATAGGGATGTTCTGACAAAGTTCCCTTATTTTTCAGCGTCCAATACGCTGGTGAAGGAAAAAATTGGCGTTGCAATTTAAAAAAATGAAGTTTTCGACATTTCGAGATAGGGAAATTCGGTGCATATTTCTGACCACGCTGTATAATTTTTTAAAAAACTTTTCAAGTGTTATGTAAGCTATGGGTCCTGTCTGTGCAAACCCTAAATATATTTGGCCGTACTCGAGTGTAATTTCGAAAAATTATTTTTATTTTGGCAGATGTAACCCATCATCCACTTAGGTCCTCTCCTATTTAATATTTACATTAACGACGTCTTTGAGGTGATTCATAGTGCACAGTGTTTGATGTATGCCGACTCTAATTTACAGCGCGATATTTCTGCGTTGCTCCGTTACTGCAGCTCAAACTTTATTACGCTTATTACGGTCAGATATGAGTACGACATCAGTGGCATAACCATACCCAGAGTACCTCAGATTAGAGACTTCAGCGTCCTATATGACGAAAAACTGATGTTTGAGGGCAACGTTGGTGCAGTGATCGCCAAGGCATGGCGCATGCTTGGATTCGTTATGAGAACCACTCAAGACTTTGCGGATTTCAATGCTATAAAACTCTATATTTTGCTTATGTTCATAGTATTCTGAATTTTTTTAGCTCCGTTTGGAATCCGCAATATCAAACATACATTTCGAGAATTGAAAGAATTCAAAAGAAATTTGTAAAATATCTTTGTTATATGTCCGCAATTAATTACATTGATTACGATTCCGCATGCTCATCCTTCAATCTTTTATCTCTTCGTCAGCGCTGTCTTTGTAGTGATGCCTTAACATACCACAAAATTATCAATGGCAGCTTCGATTCACCAGCACTTCTTGAAACCATTAATATACGCGTTCCTCCCCGATTGCTTCGATCAGATTATATATTTCACACTCCCATTCCTCGCACGAATGTCTTTCAGAATTCTCCTATGGTGAGAATGGCACACACTTGTGATCATTTTCATCGAATTGCGGGGGTTGATGTCTTCAGTAGTTCACGTAGGGAATTTAAACGTTTGGTAATTGCATATTCTAAGCTATTAATATAAAGTCAATCCTTTTATTTTTTATTGTTATTACTTTTATTTTTTATTATTATTTTTATTTTTATTATTTCAATTAACTCGTTACGCTGTTAAAGTAATTTTGATTTAACATTGTTCTTTAGTGATTTGTTTTTGTATTATTTTGTGGCACAGAGTTTGTGGGTTCGTCGCGTTTCTGTGCCTATAGTGTTAATAATAAATAAATAAATAAATCTTCCAAAATTTTCGAAACAAACTGAAATAATTCAAAAATGGTGCAATCTAAACATATGATGACTTAATTGAGTGGGGATCTCGAAAATGCAATAAAAATTGGTGCATTCCATTTAAAATAACGAAGTTGGGGTCCATTTCCGGTATAACCGGAAGTTGGAGAAAACTGAAAATAATTTAGCTGAAATCACTACCTCCGATGAACCCTGTATGCAAATTTTCACAAAAATAGTGCCAGTAGTTTGTCATATACATATAGACTCAGCTCGTCGTGACAGACCTGGTACAGTTTAATATCAGGCTACCAAAAATTCGCTGGGAACCTGGAAAACCGAGTACTAATCGGGTTCCTGGTGCATTTCTAATTTAAACCATATGTATACTAACTTGTATCAAATTTTATCAAAATTATTGGGACACATCTCCGGATTTTCCCTGATTAATAAAAAGAAATAATAACAAATTTTATTCATTTTACTTAATGTTAAACACAATCATTTATGAATATCTCTCAATACTTAATAAATTACAACCATTCCTAATAATTTAAGATAAGAATAAAACTGTTCTAAACTTTAAAGTTGGAAAAGGAAATAATTTCTTGATCAATCCATTCACTTTCCTTTTCATTAATAATGAATAATGGAAAAGGAGAAAGTAACGAAATTATGAGAAAAAGAAGCATGATTTAATTAACATCTGCTTGTATTTTATCATTAAAAATTTTTACCTGAAAAATATTTTTACGTCTTTTCCATTGAAAAATTGCAAGAAAAAAATGTGTTAATTGCTTACCTCTTTCAACAGAAACATAAATTAACTTAACAAAAAGCATTAAAGTAATAATGTCATGAATTTATATTATTCAAAAAATGCAAGAAAGTGATGTGGATAATCAAACATAAGGTTTACTCATGAAAAAAAAACTTTCTAGAAACCAACTAATCTAAAAACGTGAACGCTTTGCAGTTTTTTTTTGGTAAATAAATTAAAACAAGCCACGCTGTTATTACCTGATAGTACGATTTTAAAACATCCCCAAAGAACGGATGTTTCTGTTAAAAATTATCAAAGATATTTCAAAAATATTTCCAGAAGAAAATATTTACTTTAAATATAAAAAAAAATTGTAGATAACAAATTAAAACTTACATTATGCTGTCTGATGTATTCCTCAAACTCCTCATCAGTGAATTGTCTCCGTTCATCCAATCCTTGCCATCCGTGGTCTTCTTGGAAGTCATTTCGTTTTGTTTGAGCGATAAATTCATCAAAATCAATAAATCCATCTCGATTAAGATCAACTTCTTGGAAAACAGCTTCTCGCATCCTCTCCATTTCTTCTGCTCTTTCTCTCATATCGTCTTCAGGTGCTCCAGCTGCATACATTTTATCTAATTCTTTGATAAAGAGTGCTTTCACTTCCGTTTCATCCCACAAACCGTTTCCATCCAAATCATGCAATAAAAAGAAAGTTTTTGGATCAAAATTTTGTTGCATTTGATCTTGTTCTTCCCAAACTTCCTCCAATTGTTGTTTATGTCCAGGTTCATGTAACTTTTCGTGTTTTTTATGTTTCTCTTCTTGTTCTTTATACTCTTTTTCTAATTTATTACGTTCATCTGGAGCTGTTTCATTTAATTTCTGTTGTTTCTCAAATTCTTTTTGCATTTCATATTGTTTGAATTCATCTCGTCGCTTTTTATCAGCTTCAGCTAAGTCTTCGGTAGTTTTCTTAATCAATTTTTTTAAATCATCAATTTCAAATGTGTGAGGATTCTCATGATCGACATGGTGATGAATTGGATCTTCATCGATTTCATTATCATCCATTAATTCTTTTTTCTTTTGCATTAATTCTTTTAAACGATCCAATTCGCGTCTTTTAATTTCATCCAGTTGAGTTCGAACGTGATGAGCAACAAATTGTAATTCGTGGGCTATTTTACCAGTTCGGATATCATCTTCATTAGCTTGTTCTAATTTCTTTTTAAATTCGCCATCTGATTCAAGTGCATTAACTACTTCGCGTAAATATCTATGATATTCCATGTAATCCTCAAGACCATCTTTAACTGGTTCATTTTCTTTTTGTTGATTTTTTGTAACCGGTGGAGCAAAGATTCCACAAAAAAATGTTATGAAAAGAAAAATGATTGATAATGAAGGCATTGTTAATGCTTCACTGAAGGTTGCTTCAATGTGGTTTAATCAATAGATAAAAAAAGAGATTAATAACATATTTATTTATAAATAAATTAGGTTGTTGAGTGAGATTTATTTGTTGAAGTCTTTTAATTGATTGTAGATTCTAGAAAATTGTGGAAAAATTGAGTTGTTAGTAAGAAAAGCAAAATTTGTTATAAACTTACCAAATAAATCCTTTAAGCTACACTAATAGTTACTAAATGGCTTATAAATCGTTGAAATTGTGAAATTTATGAAAGAACACGTCAATGTTTTGGGCAGTAGTAGGAGGGGATTTTCTTGATTTTGATAAATATTTTATAAATAAACGCATTAATCATCAAAAGATTGGAAAAGTAACGATTTTTTTGTTTAAATTCGCTATAATCGCAGTTTTTAAATATTAGCTTATTTTAATATTATAATTTTATGAAATTTGTCAATCTGACGTTTAATATATGAACGCATCCCAGGCGAGAATGAAATTATTTGTTTAAAATATTTAACAAATTTATATAAATGTAATTACATTTAAATATTAAGAGATTTATAATCTCAACAATAATTAGATTAATTAAACAAATCCTTCTTTTTTAATGAGTTATAAAGTCACACAGCGGACGGTAAGTCAGCAATTTAATTGCTAATAGAAACGATCGACGGGCAAAAGATGGCGCTAGTTAAAAGTTATTAAACTTAAAATTTATTATCCGAATTTTATTACTAACTTTTTGTAGTATTAAATCCATATAACTGAACCCATTTAAATCATAAGTGTGGGGGTTTTCTCACATATTATAAAATAATATAACTAGTATTTTTTAGAACAAGATTTTGTATTTGTAATATAAAAAAATTGCCTTCCTTTTTTGCTGAAGTCTATTCGATAATCATAAAAAAAAATGAATTTATACATAGTAACGTAAAATAACCGATTTCTTGATTTTTTTGAAAACGTAAGTAAAATCAATGTGGCAGGGAATATGTGCAACGCAACAATAAGCTCAGATATTTGCTGAACAACTTTTCTTGTTTTAATGTGGGTTCAGGAAACACTATAGCTGTGCTAGGTTGTTGAATGTAACTTATGACTACAATCTTAACTAACAATAAGTCTACAATCTTAATTCTTTTGGACTTTAGGTCAAGGCTTTTGTCATATCATATCTTTGTGGCTAGAACTACCATTTACAGATTTAAGCAATATGCTCAAAACTGTTCCAACATGTCCTACCAATGGGCTGCGGAAGACATTATAAACACGGATATTGTGCTATCAATGCCATCAGATTTGACGAGATCGCAGCAGTGATTAATGCTCGACACCAGATTGTACTGCCTGAACGGTAATTTTGGATCGGAAACGAAAATTCTCTGGTCCAAGCAGATATTTGCATGTTCATAGATGGATCAAAAACGCCGGAAGAGGTCGGGGCAGGAGTATACTGCCCTACACTTCGGATTAAGCAAGCTTACAGGCTGAATATGTACTGTACTGTATTCCAGGCGGAAGTATTTGGTATTGACATGGGTGCTAAAATCCTTCTTGAGAGGGATGTTCTTGAGGACACCTGAAAATAAATTATTTCTGAAGCGCCTGTTGTACTTACAGTAAAAATTATTTCGGCCACAAAGGGTTAAGTCACTATTTAAGAAAATAATCATGTTCAAGTTTTTCCTGGAAAGTCTGTTTCGACGTTCATTCATAATTTGGCCAACTTTTGAAAATACTCCTTCTAGAGGAGTATTAGGACTCCTTCTATTATCCTTTATAAGTTTTATGAGTTTTTATAAGTTTGTAAATTTCTGGCAGTAGATTTTTGAGGCGCATCCAAAATTCAATTGGATTCTGAGATCATGTTATAAGCGAGATCTCTAAATATTGTCTTACAATCAAAGTCGCGCTCGTGCTTGGTATTGAACTGTTTTTCAGAGTAGCAACTTCTCGATCAAAATGTGACCGAATGTTTTCTTCATATTTGATGTCGTTAGTTACAGTTTCAATTGACTGTTTTTCAACTATCTCACTTTTATTTTGGAAAATAGACAATATTTCAGTAGTAATTAATTTTTGCACTGTGTCTGCCTTTTCCTCATCACAAAATGCAGCTTTTTTACATCTGAGATCTAAAAACGTTGCTTTTGCACAAAGTGAATTCTTTGATTGTAAGATACCAAGTTGCCTTCTAACATCATCTTGTAAAGCAATTTTTAAAGATTTTACACTGGTTGTTTTAGGAGTACGGTTTCAGCGATTGCCGTAGACATCTTATAAGAGGAATAATTAACTACATGGTTGTATATTTCTCATCTGACAATTCATTAGTCATCTTTTCAAATGATTTCAAGATGGAGACTAATTGTAAGTCTGTGAACATATCCCATTCTGTTCCTGTAACAAAATCTGGAGCTCGTGGTAACGATGTTATAGCAGCTGATAGTGGGTCTTTATCGTTAAAAGTCTTTCTGTCATAATTAAAGAAAAATTCCTTATTAAAAGAGAAATTTGGTATGGTAATATACCATATTTCGGAAGGATCTATCTAGTTTGGTTAAATCATCACATTTTAGTTTAAATAACATAAATATTGTATAGTAATTGAAATGTGAACTAAAACTGAACGATAATACCATTTATTTGTCATTTTTTTTTCATGGCATTTTTCATTGTTTTTTTTTTCTTCACTCTGATCTAATCTAAAATATGGTGGTTTAATCAATATAGGTAGATCTATCTGAAATTTTGCATAGTGCCATAATTTCTCATTCTGAACAACTTTCTTAATGATATTTCGCCGTATCATGAACAAAAAGCTTACTTTACCTGAACTCAAAATAGTTTTTGCTTCACTATCAATGCCGAGTTGATTTTCAAAATATGAAAATATTCTTAAAATTCTCAGGGCTTAATTCCTTACTCTTAAAATAAAATTCTAAAATTTTTAAGTCATTATACCTCTTGTAACATCTATCCTGGGACACACTGTACTTATGTGCTAGGTAATATTTTCGAAGATAATAATTTTCCGCTTGGTGGTTTGTGTTTTGATATACTTCTATAATTTGAAGAAATCTGCAGTTGAGGCGCATCGATTGATTTTAGAAGGATATAATGAGATTGCTTTAAGTGAGAGAAGCTGCCGTGAGAGGTTTCAAAAGTTTAGAAACTGTGAGTTTGACGTGGAAGGCAAAGAATATAGTGGAAAGCCGAAAGTGTATGGAATTGGAAGCATTATTGAAGGAAGATTCGTGCCAAATGCAAGAAGAGCTTGCACTTACATTAAAACAGACACAACAAGGAATTTCGCATCGTTTAAAATCGTTGCAAATTATTCAAAAACAAGGAAATTGAATTCCACATAAACTTAAGCCGAGAGACGTTGAACGCCGATTTTGTATGTGTGAAATGTCGCTTGCCAGTTTATACCAGAAAGGGTTTTTTGCATCGTAAAGTCACTGGTGATGAAAAATGGACCAACTACGATAACCCAAAGAAGAGAAAATCATACAATATATTCGAGCTTGTTCACTTCACCTGGCCAACACTTGTCTGATGCACTGACACTTTTTACAACTTCATAGCTTTGTTACACTCTTTAGCAATTTTTAATCAATTATTTTCAATTGAAGTGAAGTCTTTGAAAGAATGAAAAGCTTCACAGCCACATCAGCTATTCCCCTGATGAAGATACTTCAAACGGTAACTTTAAGATGCTTTCCTATATTAGTAAAGTCTTGGAATTTTGCGTCAAATTCTTTCCTATGTTCTGATATAAAACTTAAAAACAGCAGTATCTATTTCTGAATTCCTTTTATATTGAAGAATTGTTGGAAAATGAATAAATTGCTGATTAACGATATCATTTTCAAAATATATAACTTGCGCCAAGAAGCAGTCACATTTTGTATTAAATCAGATATTAATATCCCATTTCCTAGCAACTCTACGTTAAGTGCATTCAAACAATTTAAAATATCATTCAAAAAAGCCATATTTTCCATATTGGATCTGTTTTCAAAGACTTCCAAGTCTTTCCCTTCTAATCTATCCAAACTTTCTAAGCTTTTCTAAACTTTCTATCTTGCTCTTTTATTTCGCAAAAACGTTCAATCACTTGGCCTATACTTTACAAATGAAAATTATTGTATTGGAGTAATCTGAACTGTCTATGTTGAAGTGCAGAACGAGATCTAATAAAATTGACCAACGTCACCAAGCGTACTGACACTCTTCAGTACACTTTTCAGTAGCGTACTGAGATTGTTACAAAGAACTGCCTGGTGAATGATGCATTTGTATGATAACAACACAGCATTCTTATTTCTAATTGTTGTTACTAATCCTTTATCTTTGCCTATCATTGCCGGGGCTCCGTCAGTTGGAACTAATCCCTGATTTTGTCATAAAATCGTCAGAAATCTTAAATAAAACTTCTCCACGCTTTCAATGACAGTGTTGTCAGCAATTCTTCTCTAAATACTTCACGAACAAAAACAAACATTTGCTCATCGTCAGCAATATTACATGATTCGTCCATTCCAATAGCGTATCAAAGTGTGATCTGTAAAAAGGTAAACAAGCTGGCTTTGTTATCAGCAGCCTAAATTTAGCGATTCGGATTTGGACATCAGTCCGCCAGTTGCCTACCGTTGGCATAGAAGGAAAACTACAACGTGGTTCGAATATAAAATGTCTCATACAATGTTCATTATCACACGGACGCTAATTCTTTCGGTACAAACTCGTCGTTACTTATCTAAAATCCTTGAATATCTACTATTATGAAATCCTTTCTACCCACCTTTTCTACAGCTAAACTTTCGAACTACTTACAAAAAAGCATATAAACGATTCTATTGTACGAGTAGCTGCAGGACGGTGCCGTGTTGGAATCGGAATCCGAACTGGGCGTCTGGTATGACGTTCAGTTCCTCCACTTCGTCTGCAAGTCGTTGCAGTCAAGTCCTTTCGGCTGTTTTACCAACAACAGAAAGCAAGCTCATAGGACGGTAATTTTGGGGTAGGATCGAGGATTGTCCTGATTTCAACAAGAAGATTATGGCCGGAATACACGAGTTTACTTAGTTTAGTAAGTTAGGATAGCAAGCTAGATAACTGTCCTGGCTTGCTGCCCTCGCTTGGAAGATGCTAGTGTTAAGTATTTACATGATGCCAGTAATTTTAAACCAGCCAAGCCAGTACCATTTCAGACGGTTGACTGTATTTACAGTACAACACGTCCGTGATTCTAGCTTGGATACAAGCTTCCCTGGCCACACGAAGGTAAACCCAAGCCAAAACAGCGAAATCAGTGGTGGGGAAAGTTTACTAGCTTTAAAAATAGAACGGCAAGCTATTAAACTATCCTGACTTCAGACACTAGCTTACTGGCCTGGAATAAAGCTAGTCTTGTATACACGAAGTTAGATATTTGAAGAAATCTGAAGTTGAGGCACATAAATTGCTCGTACAAGCATATGGTGAAATTGCTTTAAGTGAGAGAAGTTGTCGTGAGAGGTTTCAAAAGTTTAAAAACGGTGAGTTTGACGTGGAAGGCAAAGAACGTAATGAAAAGCCGAAAGTGTATGAAGACATGGAATTGGAAGCATTATTGGAGGAAGATTCGTGCCAAATGCAAGAAGAACTCGCACTTACATTACTTTCTAATTGTTGTTACAAAGCCGTTAGCTTTGCCTATCATTGCCGGCGCTCCGTCAGTTGCAACTAATCTCTGATTTTGTCATAAAATCATCAGAAATCTTAAATAAACCTTCTCCACGCGTCTTTTCTTTCAATGACAGGATTGTATTAAACTATCCTGACTTCAGACACTAGCTTACTAGCCTGGAATAAAGCTAGTCTTGTATACACGAAGATAGATGCACTAGCATGCTAGCTTACTACCACTAGCTTGTTATCCTAGCTTACAAAACTAGGCTCGTGTATTACGGGCATTAGGTCTGTGGATTTCCACGTCTTGGGCCGCAGCCGAAACATCGCGTTATGTTTGATAGTGCGGCTATCACCTTCCTGAGAGGATGTGTTAGCGCTCTTGTCGGGAGTCCGTCGTTACCTGAAGATTCGGTACCGCTTTTACTTGCACGAACGTGCTAGGATCAATTTCGTCTTTCTCCAGTATCAATTGTACGTTTCAATGGATGCGTCGGATGTGGTTTACATTGACGCCCTCGATGTTCGGGCTGTACTAAACAGAAAACTGGATGGGAGACATGTTTTATCTCTTTGATATCAAAATCTTCACCGTCTTCTAAAAGGCGCCTTGGTTCAGCTGAATAGCTGACCGTTCAATGACTTCATTACAACGAGCGTTTTTGAGCTCTTCCATGGAAGGCTTCACATGGCGAGCTAGGTGGTTATACTCGACCTCGTGGCAAGATCGAGTATTCGCTGCTAGCGTCTTCTCATCCGATTTTGCTCGCGTATCAAGTCTCTGTTTTTCTGGTGCATTCGGATTTAGCCGTGCTGCTCTTAAGACAGCTAAACCTGAATGTTTCTAATGCTATGTGTTAGTTTTGCTTTTAGTTTAATAAAAATATACAACAATCTAACACTGAATTATAACTAAAACTAGAGCTAACAGTAGCACTGGAACTAACACTAGACCTAGAACTAGAAACGTTCGGGTTTAGCCATGCGTCACTTAAGACGGCTAAACCCGAATGATTCTAGTTCTAGGTCTAGTATTTGATCTACTTTTAGTTCAATAAAAATATACAACATTATACAAATATTAATATTTATGGAATGTTTCTATTTATTTAAATATTACCATTTGAAGCATCTAACCAACAAAAGATGGCGCTAGAGTGTAATTAGAAATTTAAATTGCGTGGGTGTATTAAAAGGTTAAAATCAATTATTTAATTTTTGTTAAGTTACTTTGTATTAATTATTATTAATTAAAAATAAACAATACTTTCACTATTTTTTTTTTCAATTTAAATGTATCATCAGAACGTTTCCCAAAAATTAATACATAACCTAACATTTAAATGCCTCGACTATTTTCAAATTAATATTTAAAAAGATGTTTAAAGCTCTCAGATCAACACGTAATAAATTAAATTCACCTTTAATATGTGGTTATTGCACATCAAATGAGAAACATACCTCGAAAATGCCAAGTGATTTAGTTAAACAAACCGATATAACCTCAAAATCTGAATTGGATAAGATGAAAGAGGATGTAAAAAGTTTAAAGTGGAGAAGTACCTGGCATGAAAAAGAAGGACAGTATTACAGTACGTTAAGAACGTTTTATACGGAACATAATAATTCTGCTGTGATGAAGTTTATTCAAAGTCCTATAAAATTGTGGCCGTCCGATATTAAGAAATGGTGGGCAGGAAAACAAGAGGAAAAAAGTATAATTATGCAACAATATATTCCCGCTCGTAATCAAATGTTGGGGAATGAATTGGCCGCTGCACATTTTGTTGTTCATCGAGGAGGTTCTGTCAAGTTTTTCGGACAAGATTTTTGGATTAAAAGAAATGACATGAAACAATATAATTTACCAAAAAAATATGATCCTGACTGGTTTTTACAAGCTATAGATTGCAATGATATGGAATTATATTATGAGGGTCTAGTCAATATGAGAGATTTACAAAACGTCGAATGGTTCAGTATTAGTGGGTGTGAAAACATGGATGATTGGTGCCTGGATAGGATTGCAAATATATTTTCAAAATCACTTTTGTATTTGGATATACGAGATTGTCCTAATATTACATTTAGAGGGTTGGGGGCACTTGTTAAAATGGAAAAATTAAAAATTTTGTATGTTAATAACATAATTATTAGTGATGAATGGGAGATGACTTGTTTGTTGTTACAAGAAGTTAATCCTAAACTTGATATTAGAACTTAATTGAAGTATATTTGATTTAATTATGTTTATTATAAATTTTGTTTGTTTCTTGTACAGTTAAATTAATAAAGTTTTGGATTTAATTGTATTCAGGGTTATTATGCTTAAAATTATATAAGTTAATTACAGGATGTTCAAAAAGCCACACAATGCAATAAAACAACACATTTAATAAATAAAAAACTTTATTAAAATAATAACAATAGATTTCATCAAACAAAATGACAAGAAATGTTCAAAATTGCTTCAATTGGCTTCAATATATTTTTTACCTGTTTTTTTTTTACAAGTTTTAAGTATTCTTCCATAAATTTGTAGTATTGGAGTTTCAATTGTTCATTTTTACCAGTTTTTTTTCCATTTGTGCTAGTCTTGCTACTGCTCCACGTTTGGATTCTCCAAATTCTGGTTCAGTTTTAAAAGGAATTGTGACAGTGTATGTATCGTCATAATTTCTCTTTGTGTTGTTTTGGTAATGGTCTTCACAATCGGCATCTTCTTTCGTTTGAATTCTTGGAACTAGAACTTCTTCAATTTCCCAGAACTTCTTTAATTGAGCGTCTTCTTCGACTCGATTTATCATGCTTATAATTGTCGTTGCTTGTTTCTCTTTCATTGTTCCTGATAAAATGCATCCAAACGCCGGCGCCGTCTTCTGTCCCAATAATCCAGGTTCAACTTTATGAATTCCGTCTTGAATGAGTTTTCCATATTCTTCTGCTCTGATGATAGCATCTATGGGACAGGGAATATTGTAGGTGGGATCAAGTAGGATTTTGTTGTTCCAGTGTTCGTCTGAGGAAATAGGTAGATTTTTGTTTGGTAATGATTGCATTGGCTTAGATTGAGGAAAGTGGTATTGAGCGCAAAGTTACTCGAAAAAAGAGGTTGAACGTTTAGGTCCACTTTCTATTTTGGTATCTTTGGTGTGCCGTCTTCTTCCGTGATGAAGAAGGCTTGGGATCCTGGATCGATAAGTTTTCGGAACTGCCGGAATCTGTCTTGACTTTCACCAGGGCTGTTGCTGGAAGAACTTCACTTTCTAGTCCGCTTGATGCTCCTTTTTTAGTAGAAACTAGGACTGAATGTTTTGTAGATTTAGTGTTTTGATTAAGCACAATTTGAACACAATTCAATAAATAGAAAACTTTACTAAAACAATAACAATAAATGTACTTCCAAACAAAATGACAAGAAATGTTAAAAATGGCCTCCATACATTATTTACTGGTTTTCTAAAATTTGCAACGATGCTCGCACACATTTCTACTGTAATCTCGTCCCAGGCGTGTATCAGAGCAGTTTTGAGCGCTTCTACGATATGCGGTAGAATGGACCAAAAGGAATAACCCATTGCGTTGAGATCCGGCGAATTAGGCGGCCGAACGTCTTTGTCCCAAAAGCCGAGAAACAGCTTTTCGCAAGTGGCGATTGTCGATTTGGCCAAATGTGACGGCGTCCAGACTTCTGAAGAATGAATCCTGCTTGACCGAAGTGTTCCGCCATTCACGGCTCCAAAACATCTCCTAAAATTCGCTGTTGATAGCTGACGGCGGCGTTGATGTTGTCGTTTAGATCAATAAAAACCAACGGTGTTTTCCCGGTGGTGCAAATGCAGGCCCAAACCATCACAAAAGTAGCAAGTTGTTCAAAGCATTTCTAAAATTTGCATAACCGGAAACAACTGCCTTCACGGAATCAGCTCTTGCTGACCAACGAAATTTTTTAGGATCTAATTTAGTTGAACAGATCGTATCTTTCAAAATTTCCCGTCTTGATATTGACGCGACAAAGAAATGGTAAATTTTGATAAAAGAAAATAATTTAGTTGCTTGAAAGTAGTATTCCGCTGCCGATTCTCCAACTAAATTTAAATAATGTGCTGCGCAAGGTACCTAAATGGCAAGATTATTTTTGGATTTAATGCGTGGTTGGAGGTCGTATATACCAGACATATTACATGCAGTATCGTAAGATTGTCCTCTACAATCTTTCAAATTAATATCTAAATCAGGTAGTAGATTTAAGATAGAATTTTCCATATTTGAGCTTTTATGGCCAGTATTTTCTAAAAAGTTTAAAAACCTTTCAATGGGGATCCCATTTATATTGACACATCTGACAACAATGGTTAATTGATCTACATGGGAAAAATGCGAAGAATAATACTTCGCTTCTTACACTCCATCTTTGGAGATGTTGACTCCATCTTCATGTATTCATCCTTTCTTGATCTTCTGGTCGTGGCTGCTTCTCTTTTTGTTGTATTTGAGTTGCTTCTTTTTGTTTCTCATTTGATTGTTGATCAATATCATCATTGGCCCTTTTTCTGCTTACCCTTCTTGAGTAGTTGGCGTTGGTTCTGATGGTTGCCGAGCGACTCGATCGTGAAAATCTTATCATCAGTGAAGGGAACTTTTGATAAATGATCATCAGTGCTCAGGCGAATCATTTGGAGAGAATTTTCCAATCTTTTTAGGTTCATTGTATCGTTGAGGAAGTGGAGACGAGCGATCTTGTAGCTTTGAAGGTTTAGCTTTCTTTTGACGATGCTCCAAGTGCTATTGATATTGACGTCAAGCTTCTTTGTCATTTTCCTAATCGAACGCTCAGGGTTGCGTTGACCACGACAACGGACTTCTGCACATTCTTCGGAGTCATGGTGATGATTGGACGACCTCTCCGGGAGCTCCTCTCTGTGACAGCATCATAGACAGTTTATTTCTTGAAACCAATCGTTCGTACGATGCCGACCGTCTTTATTCCTGATTTGTGCAGCTCAACAAGTGTGATACACGATTAAAAATAAATTAAAACAATATTTAGGAACAAAATTACATGAAATCAATGAAGTCATGAGAATTATCAAAAAATCACAACGTGATTCTGATTAAGTTTCAAATCTATCAAAATTATTTTTGGGTTGGATTTAAAAACAGTCTTGAAATCTAAATTCAATTAATGCAATTTAATTATAATGTGGATTAAAATAATATTTTAATCTAATCTCTCTATCTTCTATCAATATTATGATTATAATAAATTTAAATTTCGTATTGTTTTAACTTTCTATTAAAGATTTTTTGAAAACCTGAATCTCTATGAATTGTGCTTTAACTATTCAATCATAAAAGATACTTTAGCCTATATATCAAAGGGGCGCGTGTACAAAAGGTATTCGAACTATGGATGAATGCCAGTAAAAAAATTGGAAAAAAGAGTAAAAACAAGACTATCATATTTCGACTAGAGTTCTGTGTATTTCAACTAATATTAAAATCAGGTAATGTTCATGGAATATGTGAAAAATGTTTTACCATGAGATTAAATAAAAATGTTTAATTAAAACATTTATTAATGTTTTAATACATAATAAACTTATATGTTATATACCGGTGTCCCGATAAGGGTACATACATAGCTGCTGTATCTGGATAATGGAAAAGCCTAGAGGTTTGGGAAAAAAATCCTTGTCAGCAAACTGGGCAAAAGGACCTGGAAATTATTTTGAATTTCGTAATTTGACCGTTAAGGGCGTAACTGACATAAAGATACAAATACCGTATTTTACGGACTATAAGACGCTGCGGACTATAAGACGCACCTTAATTTTTAACACTTTTAATTTTTAATTCTCAGTTTATAAAACCGAACTGACCTTTAAAATCTCTGAAAATCGTCATTTGAACTTTCTTCTTCTTCCTCTTCATCGGGTGTTGAAGCCATCGAGAGCGTTACATAATACTTCTTGAAAGATTTAACAATGTCTTCTTTCACTCTAGACCACGACTGTTTTACCCACTGACACACTTGTTTGATTGTAGGTCGTTTTAAAGCTCTCTTCGGCGTGAATCCTCTCTCATACACACTTTAAATGGTTTGTTTATCGAGATATCAATTTCTCTTTTATTGGACCTTTTTAAATGACTACTGAACTAATCTAGCAAAAGAAGAGAACTCTTCTTCAATAAAGCACCTTTTCTTCTCTCCCACAATCTGTTAATCCATAGTTTCATACTGATATGAATTAAATGCAGAAAAACGCAGATTTGTATGAACACCTTTTCTTTTATTTACTTTAATCAATTATTTAATCAACTATTATCATAGTAACCAAAAACATTCATAAACTACTACTTGAGAATGTTGATCCTCAACACATACCAGCCTCGCTCATCCTACCCTTGTCATGTACGTGAAGAACAACACCTGGCGGTATTTCAGAAGTTTTGCGCTTGCAAATGATTAATGGGTTAAGATGAAAGGACAACAGTTTAGTGCATTTTTTCATGTCCACTTGTTTTTATAATTACAGTTTTAGCACGTTTCATGGAAACAATTCTATTACTCGGCACATCAAATGTCAGAGGAGTTTCGTCCATATTTGCTATTTGGCTTAGTTCCACACTGGTGTTCTTTCGATGTTGAATAATAAAGTGATGGAAAGATAATATTTTCTGTTTATACTCTTGTGGCATTTTCTGCATTATTAGCAGAAAATTTCCATGCTTCATAAACCAGTAGCACCAACCAACTCCAACCTTAAAGTCTGTTAAGTTCCACTGTAGCGCTAGTTTACGCGCGTGTATTTGAACCATTTTTGTATCAATTCCAATGTCATACCATGGTGTCCTTGAATCCATTTCAACACGCCATCTTCTAAGTTTGGCCATTTTGCATTTTTTAATCCTCTATTTGCACATTTAGTCAACCTCATTTCTTTCTGTTCTTCTTTACTATCCCACTAATCGCAAATGGATTTTTTTGTTGGTGGAGGGCCGAAATTCCGCTCAGTTGCTCTGTTTCCATGTTCTTCTACATATGCTATTCCTTTCAATTTATAGCTCGCACCATATGAATACATTTAATTCTTTTCGATTACGAAACTAGCTACTAACAAAAATATTTGAAGTATAAGACGCACCTGAATTTTAGTGCCAAGTTCGAACTTGTTTCTGAAGAAGGTTGCAACATGGCACCCGAAACGTTAAACATATTTTCAAAAAACGCACGGTTTAACCAGAAAGTTTCTTGTTCTAGGTCTAGTGTTAGTTCTAGTTTTAGTTTAATTAACACCGGCCGTGAAATCCTTCATACTTTGGAGCCAATTTTTCAAAGAAAAAAATGCGTCTTATTTTTAGCTTTCCAGCTCCAAAGCTCTTCAATAGGTCGGAATACTAACATTTTACGCATTTCTAATTTCTTCTGCGTATAGTCACAATCTATACATATTAAATCCTCTGTAATATTCTTCAACTTACTTTTATTTTTCAGTAGTTCCAGTAGCTATCGTTTATGTTATACGCATTTTTAACTTTTACCTCTGCATTTAAATATTCAGATACAACATTTTAGTTAAATTACATTACCAAGTGTCATTTTGAAATTACTGCATTTTTTAAATTTAATATTTTAACATCTCTAGATGGACATTTTACAACTATTGTTAATTTATCACTCCAGAGTGCCGACCACTCCAGCTAATTAGTTCTAGAGATATAATAATTTTTTATTTAAAACCATCAATTCACAGTTTTTAATCTTTGAATTATATACTAATTTGTTGTTAAATAGCTCAAATTTAAAATGTTTTTTTAGAGTTTTTTTCTCCGACATTTTCTTCTAGAAAAAATAATAAAGGAATGTTAACCAAGAACCTCAATTTAGAGATTTCGTGATTTTATGGTATATAACTACAAAAGCAAGGAAGTCAAAAAGAAATGGTTTATAATATATAAATATAAATAATGATTTTGTGATTTATTATGAACAATTTTTATTACTATAATTTTCATCCACAGTTTTTAATCTTTGAATTAAAAACCATTTTGTAGACAAATGCCTCAAATCTGTAATGTTTTTTATCGATGATTTTAAATCTGTTCAATTGGTAATATTCATGGTAAGGTTATAACTGTTTGCCGATAACGTTTTGTTTCTTTGTTACAAACAATTTTCATCAACAATATTTTCTCCTGACTTTTTTCGTTTTCGAGCTATGAACTTTTGACCGAAAAAGCCCAACATAGAAGTTTGGAGATTTTATGGTGTGTAACTAAAAATGCGAAGAAGTTGGAAAGAAATCGTTTATGAATTGTGTTTTTGTGATTTATTTTTATATTTATTTTTTAATGAACAACTATTCTGTTGTAAAATGCTGGTGCGGTGATTTCTACTTATAACTTATTGAGGGTTTTATTGTAACCTTACTGTTTTAAGTAGATTGATAACATAAATATAAAGAAATTTTAAAAAGTATTTTGAAGTTTTAGCCGAAGTATTGATCGCCTTAGAAAAACAAATTTCACGTTGAACCGCAAAAAGTGTAGTTTTGAAAAAGAAGTACTGTTAAATTGGAACTGAAAATCTGAAATTGTAAAATTATTTGATTTCTAGTTCAAATTTGAACGAAAAATGCACTCGACAGTCCAATTTTTGGTGATTGGCAATGGGTTGCAGCACGATACGGGTATATTAAAGTGTTAGTAGAAATATTAAATGCGTAGACACGTTTCAACTGGATTTAATAATGAAATTGGAAATCAAAAACATATTATCATTTCATATCTTCGGTAAACGAATGTAAACCAATATGCGAGAAAATACTTAATATATGCATTTATCGGTATTGATTTTTGTGGACATTTCCATAAGACAAACCACGATCACAATCTATTTTTCTTTACCACGTCTTTATGATGTATGGCATACTACAATTTCTAAAATGCCGTAAATTGGACTTTACGGCATTTTAGAAATTAATATATATTATTCTGTATATTTTATATTCTATATATATTATTAGTATAAATTATATTATTCCTTATATTAACCGACAATATTACGCTTTTAATGGGTATGATCAAAAGCTCTTACAACAAATATCGAAGGATGACTTGATGATGACTTAAATGTTACAAAACATTACGCAACTGAATAAGTACAAAGAAAAGTGCATTTTGGGATAGTCTAGTTGGGCAATGATACTAAAGAACTACAGAAAATCCTTGTTGTCTAAAGCAAGAACAAATCAATTCTGGAAACTATTAGAGAGGTCGACGTGATAAGTGATATTTTTCATTCTGCACAAATCGTTGCGCCATATACTGGATAAATAAGTTACTACGGTCATCATATCTTGAGACAGCTATCCGGAAAGGTTTATTTTGGAACTTAAAATCGAACAAGAAAGTTCTGATAACTTATCTGCTGTTAAAAATGATTCAGTTAGACTTGATCGTGTTAATCTTATGATGCTGTTAATCTGTCGTTCAATGACATTACCTCACATTCGCAAGGGTTTGGCAACTTCCTAAAGTTCCTATTGGTATGAAATTCCGACCTATAAATTTACTTTCTTGTTTATTAGAGATACTTGGAGATATTATATCATTCCACTTTGATCATGTGTCAAGCGGGATTTAGACCCGGCTTCAGATGCACATCTTCCATCTTAGACATCTTACTGACGATAAATTATGTTTTTCTTTTTAGATGAATGAAATACATAGAGATAAGGTGGATATCAGAGTCTCGATTAGTTTAGCTGCAGATTAGAGAGATGTTATACCAAGAATTGATTCAACATCGTTCTCTTTCTCCATAGTTTTAATGGGGTCAAAGAAAAACCTGGAAATTGAAATTAAAATTAGAATCTACGTGAGAGGTTATTTTCCGATATTTAATCTGGAAGAAATGGGAAACGCTAATCAAAAGTTAACTAATGTTATTTCAGTCATACGCCTCTGGTACATACATATTAACGTTTAATGTGTGCATTATTATGATGACGTCCAGATCGATTTAATAAAGTTTTACCAGATCATCTTACGACAACATTTCACATTAAATACGAAGTAGATAAAGACGGTAAAATGTTATCCAAGGCCAGGAAATTTACGAGAATAAATTTATTCGGAAGTACACGCGTAAAGTGTTATAATGAGCAAAGCTCACGAAAAAGGCGTTCGTAAAGAACATAATTCGTCGCTATGTAGTACTGAAGAAACTATTTTTTCTTGTAATTAACTGGATAACCTACATTTCACTTTCTCAAATTTTTATATGACATGCAATAATTTAATAAAGATTAAAATTGCCATAATATATTTTTATTTTGCTATAAAAATCAAAGATATGAATTATTGGTATAGATATAGTACATCTTTAGTTTTCAAATTTACATTAAGGCATTTTTTGTTCCGAAGTTTTATTTTTAGATGTAAAATTGTTTGCGTCATATCGATTTTGGAGTTTAACGGATTAAAGTACATAAAAAATAAACTGGGAACCGAATGAGCTTTTTTTTTGGTTTATGAAATTTTTACACCGCACTTCATACTTGATATTTTGTAGATGAATACCATATACATTATAAATGTTGGGTTATTAAAGGATGCATAAATTTACGTAATGTTATATGACAATGTGTTAAACAAATCTTATTAAAAGCTTGTTAGCTAACCAAAAATATAATTGTATTTTTTAAGCAAGAAAATCATCTGCCACGTAACTTTATTTCATGAAAACATTCTTTTTCTTTTATTCGTTTTATTTCCGGTAAAATAGTAATTAAATAAAGCTGGTCGATTGCCGACGTATCGATTTGTACAACTCACCATTGATCTAATTTGAACGGTAATTGGGATGTGGGAAACGAGACGAACAAAAAGATACGAAAAAACATCATAGAAATAAATTCGAGGTGGAGTTTTCAGAAAAATACGCTTCATCTTCTTTTTATTCATTTCTTTTTCTTCGATTAGTTTTAGTTCGTTTCCAAGGTGTTAAGATACACGGACTAGTATTATTGAATATCGATTAGCTGGCAAACGAAAACTTTTTCAATTTAATGAATTTACGATTACGAAGTAAAGTTATGGGTGCCAAGTTTATGGAAAGTTATTTTGAGTGGTTTTAAAGGAAACGGTAAGCATAAAAAACAATATACGGAAAGTTTGGGATGATTAATTAAGTGAAAACCATCGGATTTCTTAACACTTATAGAACTCACAAAAGGTTTTTGTTTCAAAAAATGATCGCTGGGTTTAGTTTGTTTCATTATGCTTGGTTTATCGCACACTATTGAAGAGATGAATAGATTTTATTGTTTTTTATATAGTTTAGGAGCGGGTGAGAAAAATTTTTAACGTTTAAATAAAAATGAAAACATTTATTTATGTATTATAAAATAGAAATACATGATATAATAATAAATAACAGATAAAGATTCCATGATAATCGGTGCGATATGGTGGAAGAATTTCCTGTAACAGAAAAAAAAATCAATAGAGTTCAACGAGTATTAGAGTTTAGAAAAGTTATTACTTATTACTAATTGGTGTTAGATCTGTGATGTGAAGTAGACTCCAGCACACAATTTATTGTGTGCAATGTATTAACCTGTCGTGTACAAATTAGATTTGAATATAGGGTTAATCATGCAAGTAGTGCATATCGCTTGCTTAAGATCTACTTGACCACGCGATCAAGTGATATGATATAACTAAAAAACGGGTTTTATTTGTCATAAACATTTAGGCAAAACATTTGACAGACTTCTGAGAAATAATGGCAAAACATGCCAACGGAAAATTGATAACAAAATTGTGCCCAAATATGATATATGTCATATATCATATATTATATGATATAAATATGTCCGATTTCGGACATCTCGTTCATGGATGTTATTTGGTGACAGTTCGTTATGCCTCTGTGTCTTCTACAGTACGCATCAGTGGGAAACCTACAACTGTGCCAGCTCCTTTACTTGATCAATATATCTTACTGATTACCTGCTTCTTTGGTCGTTCTTCCGTATTGCATGGCGGAAGAATTTAAGTATGCGACGCTAGATAGTTGGTAGCAATCTCTAATCATCGCGTATTTTTAGTTCTTCTAGGATGGATACATCAGTGCGATTCGCAGTCCAAAATATTCTCAACATTTCAAAAGTTTCAATCCTCCTTCGGCATGCAGCATTTATAGTCCAGGATAGTCCAGGATTCTGAGCCATATGTTGCAATAGGAAACAGTAAGTAAAGATTTCAGAAGTCTTGATTTAGTTTCTTTGGGTCTCTCCAAAGCCTCTTTTAACATTCCGATTCTTCTCTTTATTTCCGTCTTTATTTTCGTGCCCAAATAAATGATCTCATCCTTAACCCCCGGTCTATAATCATCAAGTGGCATTTAGATATTTTCAATCGCAGTACGCATTTCGAGTTAACAAGCGTTCGAACTTTTCAGGTTCATCTTTAGTCGTTACGACAGTGTCATCTGCGTATTCTAGCCCAAAGATTCGAGATCTTTTTTTCTCTAACAGATATTCCACCCTTCCAATTTACTAGCGCTTTGCTCATTATCCATTCTGCATGGATATTGAATAGTATGGTAGAGAAAATGGATACCCCTGCCTTACGCCTTTTCTTGCTCTAAAGTACCATGAGTATTTGTTTTCTATTTTTATTTGAACTAGATTGTTGTCATTTAGTTGTTTGATACGATAGATAAATAATCGGGAACCCATGTTTCTTTTAAAATGTTTTCAGAAAACGGAACATCGTTGGACATTAAATTATAAAGCTATTTATAAAGCTTTTCGATCATGTTATATTTAAAATTTGATCTCTTATGGCGTAATTATCATCTCGTCACAAAGCCTGCTTTTTCTGAAGGTGTATTGGAGGGAAGGTAGGTTTTGAGCCTTTCCTGTATGATATACTGTAATATTTTGCTTGTGTGATTTATTAGAGCAATGCTTCTATAGTTACTGCATTCATCTTTTAGCCTTTCTTGTGTGCAGACTTCCTCCATTCTTGCCATTTACTACTTTCTCATATTTCTTGACAAATTCGGTGTAACAAAATAATAACCTTGTTCCCAGTGCATTTTAATAAACATGAGACTCATCTATAGGAGAGCCCAGACTGTATCTTTCTATGATTCTTGGCGTCGTTGTTAGTCGTTGTCAGTTGTGACACCGGCGGAGTCTTTAATTGGAAGGTAATAGGGTTTAAAGGCTTTTGAGAGATAATGGCGGTAGCAGAAAGTGACAAAAATGAAATCAAATAGTTTATTTTTTTATAGTATACTTACAAGGTTACTACAAAAAATTCATTCGTTTTTAAAACGCTGTATATTCAAAATTATTACACCTGCAGACATGAACGATATATCAAAATAATCGCAAACTTTCCAAGTTTTTTTGTACACTCACAAACTTAGATGCTGCTAACACAGTATGTTAATGGAAACAATATAAATCGGTTCCAACAAACTGTTATAACAAAATTCATAGTAGTAAAAGAGAGTTATGGCGGAAGTTTTATGAGGAAGAAAAAGACAACCTACACAAGAATTCACCAGACACTTTGAATCACTTAAAAAGCTTCATTTAAAGGTCTGTTAGAGCTTTGCATATCGAAACAGTTACCAGGTAGCTTAGAGAGGAATAAAGTCGCCAAGATAGGTTAACAAGACAGACTCATCCGTCATCAAAGATTGGTGCGTGTCCAGAATTAATAGATTTTTTAGAATAGATAACTAAGAATGACCTGGACTGTTGCAACAAGATAAACTCTCTGAATAATGGATGGATAATGTAACGTATTTAGGATAGTTCTGCTGCAGACATATGAGAAAATTCTGGCAGATTCACGGTGTCATTTTATCTGGTTCATTATGACATTCCCAGTATGCTTCTCTAAACTGGAAAGTTAGCAACACCTGTTCTGCATAATGTGGTATGTATAATATCCAGAATAACCAGGAAAATGAGATCTTGGTTTATGTCTTTCAGGATATATAAGTTGCGTTTGTTAGAGCAGCACCACAACTCTTTACATCAACTGTGTCAACAAGTTTTATCAAAGTGTAGTGGAATCAAATATAGTGAGTTAGATCACCAATATGCTTGATAATAGTCGAGTAGAGTTGCTTCTAGTACGCTGCACGGAGACGTACAACGACATTTTTGCAGCCGGTGGGTGACCGTGTCTACAGTGGATGCTTTACTCATGTTTTAGTGTTTGTAGTTAGCAACCTGATTGCAATCCAGAGTGTTCGTCTTAACGCATCTATGAAGTCGTGGTTTGGAAAGTTGTTGGTAATAACTTTGTTCTCACTATAATATTACCGTCTTTATAAAACAGTTCTTGCTGTTTTTATGATATATAAATATAATGTAACAGCTATGAAATAAAATGATGGCAATAATATAAATGCTATAATTTTGCACATTTGACAAAACCTTGGTCAGATAATTAAATCACTATTCAACCATGTTGTAAAATCGATATTTGTTATTGTCGGTATCTTCACAGGCTACACTTGTCATCTCATTTGATGCCCAAACAAACACACTGCGGGCCAGTTATGCAGGAATGAGATATTCAAACAGTGTTATTGTTAAATCTACAGACAAAGCTAGAAATATATTATTATTTGATCCTGGCAGCATCAAGCTTATATTGGAAACTTTTACAGGGAAATATTGCTTAAAGATAATTGGAATGTTATAAACTCTTATGAACAGAAATCCATTAATTATTTGGAGTCGTGTTGAAATAAATCTCATTTTCCATAAATTATATCATAGTGAAAAAATGTTGTAATTTACCCTATATTATGATCTAATTGTGTTTGCAGGAATTGTAAATAAGTTTGCTTGTATGAATTATTAATATTTCTTTATGTAAATATTCTAAATATCGAGTTAATTCTGTTAGCTGTTGATTAATTAATTCCTCTGTCGTTGAGTTATTGCTAAAATGAATAAGTAGTTTTTCTTATTAATATTTTTCGTAAGATACGTAAAATGTGTTTTATGAATATATTTGATTTATAATGAATATTTAGAGAAAGTAATATAATGATAAAGCTTTTTATTACATTTAAATTGCGGCGCCCTATTTTAATTGCATTTTGGTCTTAATAGCGCGGGTATTAAATTTGAATTTACCATCCAGCAACATTCCAAAATATTTAGCCGCTGGCGAAGGTGGTATATTGATGCCGTGCACATCGATTGTTGGTGACGTTTCGCATATTCAATTCAGTGAATTGTTCTGGGGTTCACTCAAATCCTCCATGCTTTAAATCAGATGAATAAATGATTGATAAACTATTGTAATATAGTGATTATTGTCGGTAAATTATTACTATGCGATGTTATAGCTATGTCGGCGGTATATTAGACGATATAGTAGTAAACATCGGATCGAAGTTATATATCGGCTGTTCAATTTAAATTAACAAACCGAAATATCTAAGAAAACATTAGCATTTTATTAAAAAAAGTTTCGGCAGATTTTATGGCATATGTTTTTATTTGTTACTATTTTTCAATTACAAAATTAAAATAAGATTTATTATCCTTGTGATCTTTACGCTATAAAATAAATAACTTTCTCGGTTGCTTTCCTCGCCTATTATCTTCGAGGTGATTATTTTCGCTGAAAACCCATGCCACTCATCACTCAACTCAAGTAAATAGTCAATCAATAAACGATTCTTCTTCGACTTCGATGTACTTGTTGATTCGTGTCTCAAATGTCTGTACAAATCTCGAAAGCATATAAAGTATGTTTTAGGTTTAGTAGAAAGTTTAAGGATATTTAAAGTATTGACCGTTTACGAGCAAAAATTTGTTTTCTCAATTTATAAACATATGTAAGGGTAAATATTTCCAAAAATTAATTAACTCCCTATTAAAGTTTAAGTTATTAAACTTTTGTTAGCTTGTGTTCAAATTTTAGATGAAAATTTTAAATCGACTTTATTTTCTATTATCAAAGTAGATGTATTGACACCTATTGAAAATTGGGTGGAAATATTTGAGACGATTGTTGACAATCTATTTTTGTCAAGATTAATTAGGAAATTACTAAATTTGTTGTAGTATAACGTCAGTTGCAGCTTTCTAAAGTTACTATTGTTGTGTTGTTTTATAACTAATTTCTCCTGCCAGAAAAATAAGAAACCCTGCAAGATAAAAAAATATACTCCCCCTGTAGCAAAACTCTACAATCAATTGCCGGCGTTCGAAAGGGCTTTTCCCTGTTCTTTTCAAATGCTACACCTAACGTACAGTGATTAATTTTCATGATCTAGAAGGAAAAAATATCTGATGCCAAGCTAATGATGTTGGAGATCAAAACAAATAAAATGAGTTCAATTTGTAACAAAACTTTTTTTAATAACACTATTACAATATTTAAATACACTAAGTTATTCAGTGTCACAAAAAATACTAAGATTATGTGAATTTAATAATCTATTTTGTTCAGTTACAAGGAAATAAAATCCTAGTAAATTTGCAACTACAGGTTTTGTTTGCTATTCTTTTTTCTCTAAGCAATTTTTCCTCGTAAATAATTTTTTGTATTGTCTATTATGTTTATCACCCGTTTCTTGGGCTTTTATGAAATATTATCCAACAGGCAAGCAATAGACAGCTCTCAATGATATCTTTATTATGGTATAAAATTTTGTGGAGACCTACAGACAACAACTGTGTCATAGAAATCATATCTGCTTGAGGAGATTAGGAAAGAAAAACAACAAAACTAGCTTCAATACAAGGCAGTGGCACCTTGACTAATCGAAACCAACTCTATTATATATCACACACCGATCCTCAACCATAACCTTGAATAGAGTAGTGGTATTATGATGTTTATGGGATTTTCTGAACGACAGTTTTTAACGTTGTGGAAATTGGCTAAATGAAAATTTGGAGATACAAATTATATACGATTGTGTTACGATGACCCAAACCAAGTTCTCATCTCCGATAACATATTTCCCTATGTCGATGTCTGACTGACGAAGAGGAAATGCTAAAGACGAGTGATGCTTGGTACGCTGGAGGAATGTCTTGATAAAGGCATAATAGTTGGACATGCAACGCCGCTTGCAGAAAAACCGCGTTGTTCTCAAAGTCAACAAAACTTCTGGTTATATCATTTGAACAAATGTGAGGTTGATGGCTGTAACTGAACACTTGTCATTCTCGTTGGCATGCGAAAAGAGCGCATCGTGTGTATTATTTCTGCCAGCTAGAGGAGGGGTTTGATTGTATGATTATTGTATGGAACCGGCTTAATATCTCCAAAAGTCCTTTTCGGATCAACATTAAATTTGAAATTGAAAAAATCTAAAAATCTTTTGTTAACAAAATTTTTAGCTGTTTAGCTGTCAAACTTTTCAATATGCAGTACCAACTTGATTTTTTTTAAATAGCACTACTTAATTACCGTTAATTAGTTAATGTTTTGATAAAAGTAATTACATTCTCGAATTTAGAATAAAATAAGCTTGCGAATGATGTTAATTTTGACTAGTGGTGCTCTTTCAAAAAGATCAAGTTGGCGCTGCATCTTAATAAGTTTGACAGCTAACTGATTTTGTTTAGCCAAATTTACATTTCAAATTTCATGTTGATCCTACAAATACTTTTGGAGATACTAAGCCGGTTCCACACTTAATGAACACCTTGTACTATATTCAATAAACTATAGAGGACGGTAGACTATTATTGGATACCACGACATGTTCAATGTCTATCTTCATTATAAGCCCAAACTTATCTACATTAATTTATATTCTGCAGCTTTCACTGGTTCCTTAAAAAATCTTTGAGCTGTATTATCATCGTTCGTATTGTATAGGGCATCTTTACTAATAGCCCAATGTTTAAAAATCCTGATTCAGACATGACGAGGTGATGCCAAGCCAAAATTGTTATTTTTTACTTAGCTACACCATTGAACAGGATTTTTAAATGTGCATCCAACAGTTAAAGTGACATAACCGCAAACTTCAATCGCTACAATATTGGTTTAAAGTTTGCGACGATTTAAATACGACGCAACAAACCCAACAAAACTAATAAATGTCGTTTATGCCGTTTTGGCTTGGCAGCGATGGTATGTTAAACATAAAGAGTTCCTATTTTATTTGGTTTTTCAATATGAACTCTGATTTTGCCGAAATTTCTAAACTGTCCAAAAAATTAGGATTAATTTGATTACTTATGTTATTAACCTCGGTAGTTCTTAATTTAGTTGATTCTTTGGTAAAAAAGTTTTATTCGGTGTTCATATTTATTGGAAGAAGTAGCAGGATTTCTTCAAATTGTGTAATTAGTAATTAGAATGGTTTACAGGAAAGTAAAACTTAACCAAGCACAAATTTGGGATAAACGCATTTACTGATCGATTATTTCAATTTGGTACAGTCAGCAAATGATATGGTTAATGATGGATTGATGATAGGAGTGGTGATATTTGCTGGATAATTTAATTTGCCTCATCCGAATTTAAGTGACCTAAGTGTTGTCAAAAATACGTCAGTAGCGCGTTGAATGTGGAATTCTTCACATTTTCACATCAAATTTCAAAAAGAGCTATCCGAGGATGTACCTACACAACTCATTCTAGAAAAGTGAAATAAATTCGCAAATGTTTCATTCAAATATTCAAACATCTTTTTGTTTTAAGATTTTGATTTTCACACAATGTCTTGTAAACCGAGATTGTAAAACAGAAAAATGCTGCTTATTTATTAAACACCGACGGGCTAGTTCTGGTATTGGATCACAACTTGGTGTGGCTGCTAATGATGTCAGGTACGTGTACTTCCTCTTTACTTCTTTTTTTCTCCAGGTTCTTATTTTATTTTATTTTTATGTTTTCTTTACTTATTACTTATTAATGGGTGTTTATTATTTAATAAAACAAATGTTGTGCACTTATGAACGTATAAGTTTATATTTTCTCTGCCGGTTTCGCAGTTTTTAAGAAAAACTTAACTGCATCATCAGGAGAATCGTCAAATCAAAAACAGGTTAACTTCGGTTGAAAATACAACAAATTAAACATCATTAAACTAGTTAAACTAACAAACAAAAAGAAAAGATTAAAAATTATTGAGAAGCACAACATGTATTGCCGCCAAAACAAGAAAAAATGTTCATTTTTTATAAACTTATACGTTTATAAGTGCACAACATTTGTTTTATTACTCCGGACGTAAAGAAAAGATTCTATTTATTATTTAAGTTTAGTGTTTAAGTTTAAGCTTAGTACTTTGGGGGTTTGGGATTATCAAATGATTTACTTATAGTTACAGCTTCATATTTATGTAATCGAGAACAACAGTTAATGTATAATAATTATAAACAGGGTTTCAACTTGAGACTATTTTTAGGGTTGTCTCCTTGATCTCAGATGGTCCCCTATTCCAGGGGGAGATTGACGTGGTGAGTAAGCTCAGAAATGATTATTTACTGGAGCTGAACATACCGTTTAATTTTTGATTCTTATTTAGTTATTTTCATCAAAATATGTTCCATTATGGAGCAAATGGGCCATATTTGTTATATTTATTATTTATTTTAATACTATTATTTGAAATTAAATTTATTTTACCTTTACTTGATAGTGCGTGCCATGTAGAATTTTTTTCTCTTTGTTCAGGTGCTAAAGTGGAATGTACTCGCCTTACTTCTAAAATGAAATGAAAAATCAGTTAAAGATATATTCTCGGTTAAAAAAAAAACTCTTTTACCTTTCATTTCCTTTTTAAGGACGTACGGGACGAATTTTAATTTGGCTGATTTCGTAGCAACGTTAAAATTGGGTGCCTCAGCACTCACTTCGCATTTGTATTCTCCAGTGGATTTTGTATTTAGCGCAGTCAATGTAACGGGACAAGACCCGATGGGAGCGAATTTCGTGTAATAAATCTTCAACCCGTCGACCGGATATTCGTAAACTTCCCCGTTCGGTAAACAACGGAAAAATTGATCGCCATCCTTGTACCATTTCACATCGTAAAGTTGCATGTTCTCCAACTTATATTTACAATCTAAAGGAGCCTCATGATTTGCTATCGTTGGTACCCGAAGTTCAGTTATACTTAATGGGGTACATAATCCTATTACTGAAAAAGAAAAAAAAGATTGTGAAGATTTTATTGAATTGAAACATTTTAATGACTATAATTTAATTGTAAAACGTATAATTTCTAAAATCGTTATGATGATGGTATGGATCGTAAGAGGTCGAGTATTTATACTTTATACCTTCCAAAAGCAATCTCCAAAATTATATTCCTTAGATTAAGCGGCTTTCGGGTCTTCTGAGTTAATTTTGTTTACCCTCTAAAACCCGACTTAAACTCAAAATCCATTTTGCGCAAAGTTTCAAACGTTAACCAAATAAGACGACGCGCTTTATTATGGGGACTTTACAGGAGCGCAAGCGATTTTTTTCTCTTTCCCTTTCCCTCTTCCGGGACAAAGCGATTCCCGGTCCTGGAAATCTATCTGTTTGAGTATTACCCCAACCCTTTAATGATGATCATGGAAACCATCGCGTCATTGCAGTGATGTAGGATAAACCCTCGAGGTTCAATCTACTGTCACCCTGTAGACTGTAATCATCGCTTTTATGTCTTACATTTATAAATTACAAAACGGTTTAGTTAAAAAGGGAAACTTTATATTTTAATTAATATGTTTTAATTTATTTATTATTTGTGTTACAAACACTTTGACTTGTATTAATACAAAATACGTAGTATAATGTTATTATGCATAACATTATAATTACAGAATATTGTGTAGAAAGTTGTTGAAAACAACACAACATTAACAGATTAAAGTAGGGATTTACATAAGATATGTTATGATGTTATAAAAGATTACTTAGGAATTCAATTTCGAATAATCTGATTTGAAATTTTCTCAAAACTAAATTAACTGGAAGAAATTTAAATTAGTGTTTGTTTATATAACAACTACTTGGTCATAAGATTTATCATTTCAGAAAAAAATTATTTCTAGTTCGGAATTATTTACTACATAAAAACTGGGGTTTTGCAGTTTTCTCACCATGCTCGTTGTTCCATAAGCCGCAAAATTTTTACAGAATTACATATTCGTAGTGATGACGTCATTAGTCTCAAAATCTCGTTTTTGTATTAATATTACATCGCAACATAGACAGTTTATAAAAATAAAGTGATAATTCTGAAGTAAAGGTGATATTTCCTTAATTACTACTCGTCTTACTGTGAATTAGTTGAGAGGCTTGTGTTTCAGAAGACTCGCTTTTAATTGATAGACGAGAATTTTGCGAAAGCGGTCGAATATCCTTTGGTAGAGTAGTTATATGAGTTAGTTTAATTAATTATTTTTATTAATTTATTATGTCACACCTATGCGAAGTTAGCCCACAATTAGATAGGATTTTACATGCATAGTATTTTGATTATAACAAGAGAACCAGTGAACCGATTTCGATAAACAATGTCTCATTCGAAAGCTCCCAATATAAAAAATTAATTTAAACTAAATCGCCAATAATTAGAGAACGATTTGACGGATTTTAATGTTTTATATCTCAATCGAAAGTTTGTGTCTGGCTGAATGCGGTTATCGAAATGTCCGATTCTAAATATTTAAGGATTTTGATTTAAACACCAAAAACAAATTAATCAAACACATCAATTATCTCGTTAACTAATTGGCCAATTTTAGTCATCAACGTCTCGATCGAAAGTATAATCTACAATGAATTCGAAGTTGGAAATGCCCGATTTCAAAATTTACTAATTACCTTCGTAGGGCTATTGAAATGACTCCGTGAATCTGCCGACTAGAAGTCTAGCCCCCAATATGAAAAAATTCATTTAAGCTATAATCGACTATAATTAGGGAACGGTTTGACGGATTTGAATGGTTTATATCTCAATCGATAGCTTTCGCCTGGCTGAATGCCCGATTCGAAATATTTAAGGATTTTGAATAAAACACAAAAAATTAATTAATTAAATAACCCAATTATTTCCTTTGTTAATTGACCAATTTTAGTTAACATCATCTCGATCGAAATTATGATTCACGGTGAATACAAAGATGTAAATGCCCGATCTCAAAATTCGCTGATTAAATGTGTACGGTTGTTTAAACGACTTAGAGTGTGCCGACTGATTTTGTCTACCACATTCTTTAACATTTTTTATTTTTATTGTCACTTATGCTTTATTCTTTATGGAATATTCGGAAAACATTTTAACTTTGTAATAAAGAGAAAAATATATTATACAACTTGAAGAAAAGGTTGACAATTGAATGTAATAGAAGATATTGAAAGAATTTTAAAAATTGAAAGAAATGTAAATTCGCACCTTGCCTCTGAGAACTTTATTTATATTTCAATATAAATAAGGTTAATTATAACCCTTATTATAATAACTATATAATATAAACTATTTACTTTGCCAAAGGAGTACACACTACCAAAAAAAAAAATTTTATTGAAAACAAAACTAACAAATATTAATATTAAACCAAACAAAACATTTCTTCTTTGCAGTAACAATATGAACTNCGCAAAGAATGAAAACAAAAATAGACCTTCCTACAAACAGACTTAATCTGATACCGCCAAGACAGCGCTGAGTCCATTGTCACCCCCAAGTTTTTGACCGTATTGGTGAAATGTATAACATTGTCACCGAGTATCAGTTGCGTATCATTGGAAGAGTAAAATTTTGCAAGTAAAGGTTTTGAGCCGAATGCTATAGCTTGCGTCTTGGCAATATTTAAACTCATGCCAAAACATTTAGACCAGTGAAGTATCCTGAACAGATCATTATTAAGCCGCGCCATGGATACCGGGAGCTCATTCACAGTTGTTGATGTATAGATTTGAAGATCATCCACATATAAATGATAGTTGCATGAAATGAATTTGGTAACACTGTTTATAAAAATTGAAAAGAGTGATGGACCCAATACACTTCCCTGAGGCACACCACTATGATTTTGAAACACAGAAGAAGAAGATGAAGTGTCACGCACACAAAAGGAACGTTGAAAAAGGTATGATCTAAACCAAGTAACGCACTCAGGGGCAAAGCCCATAGCAGACAGAGACGACACCAGTAAGCTATGATCCACAGCATCAAATGCTTTGCTGAAGTCCAGCAAAACTAACAAGGTTATTCGTCGATCGTCACAGCTACGCTTAATATCATCAGTAACCTTGATGAGTCTGTAAGTAGTTTATGCTCATCAAGGTAATCCTGCACTTGATTGTACACCAAGCGTTCAAGTGCCTTAGATAATACGGAAAGTATCGATATTGGCCGAAAATCACTCAGTCGAGTAGGGAACTTAATCTTAAGAATGGGAACAACGCAGGCCTGTTTCCAAATTGTAGAAAAGGTCGAAGACTCTATGGAGAAATTAAAGATATGAAGCAATGGTGGAGTAATTACGTCCAAGATGGGAAGGAGTTGCCTAACACTAACATCGTCAGCACCGACACTTGTAGAGCGCGTTTTTGCAAGAGCGTCCCGTACCTGAGACTCCTCAAACATGGTGAAAGAAAACCGAGAATTGACGAGAGCAGAACCACTGATAGTGAGCAATGTTGACTTCTTGATTGACTCGTCGAGAGTAGTGGGCGAATTAGCAAAATAAGCACCTAAAGAATTGCAATCAAAGCTATGGCAGGAAGGAGTTTCAATTACGCCAAGGGAATAAGATAACTTCTGATAAATGTAAGTTTTTTTTGGCATTCGTCATAGCTTCTTCTATCAAATTAACAAAATGCTCCATTTCAATTCTCTCCCGCTAACCTTGTATAGGCTGTACAGCCCTCGGAATGACATCGTGTTCGGCTCGTTGTTTATGCACGTCTGAATGCCCGAAAGTCTAACCCCCAATATAAAAAAAATAATTTAAACTAAATCGACTATAATAAATTAGAGAACGGTTTGACGGATTTTAATGTTTTATATCTCAATCGAAAGTTTGTGTCTGGCTGAATGCGGTTGTCGAAATGTCCGATTCTAAATATTTAAGGATTCTGATTAAAACACCAAAAACAAATTAATCAAACACATCAATTATCTCCTTAACTAATTGGCCAATTTTAGTCATCAACGTCTCGATCGAAAGTATAATCTTCAATGAATTCGAAGGTGGAAATGCCCGATTTCAAAATTTACTAATTACCTTCGTAGGGCTATTGAAATGACTCCGTGAATCTGCCGACTAGAAATCTAGCCCCCAATATGAAAAAATTCATTTAAGCTATAATCGACTATAATTAGGGAACGGTTTGACGGATTTGAATGGTTTATATCTCAATCGATAGCTTTCGCCTGGCTGAATGCCCGATTCGAAATATTTAAGGATTTTGAATAAAACACAAAAAATTAATTAATTAAATAACCCAATTATTTCCTTTGTTAATTGACCAATTTTAGTTAACATCATCTCGATCGAAAGTATGATTCACGGTGAATACAAAGATGTAAATGTCCGATCTCAAAATTCGCTGATTAAATGCGTACGGTTGTTTAAACGACTTAGAGTATGCCGACTGATTTTGTCTACCACATTCTTTAACATTTTTTATTTTTATTGTCACTTATGCTTTATTCTTTATGGAATATTCGGAAAACATTTTAACTTTGTAATAAAGAGAAAAATATATTATACAACTTGAAGAAAAGGTTGACAATTGAATGTAATAGAAGATATTGAAAGAATTTTAAAAATTGAAAGAAATGTAAATTCGCACCTTGCCTCTGAGAACTTTATTTATATTTCAATATAAATAAGGTTAATTATAACCCTTATTATAATAACTATATAATATAAACTATTTACTTTGCCAAAGGAGTATACACTACCAAAAAAAAAACTTTTATTGAAAATAAAACTAACAAATATTAATATTAAACCAAACAAAACATTTCTTCTTTGCAGTAACAATATGAACTATAACAAAAACTGTATAAAAAATAAATAATAAAATTAAACTAACAAACATTTCTACATTTTTAACAAAACATTTCGTTACAATAACACTTTTTTTATATTTGAATCCATAATTTTTGTTTTACAACAACTGAATTCATACTTTTCCATTGAATAAATTCTTTTTGCAAGATCGCGATTTTCTTCCAATATTGTACTCACATCACTGCAGCTTACATTCCACATATTGTATTTCACTGTCAATACTGCGGCTGTGTTTTTAATAACACAATAATTGAGATTTATCACTCGTCCAATAATCATTTCCTTCATTATCTTATTTCCTAATCTAATTCTAATTTCTCCTTATTTCTTAATTGTCGTTTTATGAAATAATTTTTTTTTTGTTTAA